TCGGCGTAAAAGAGTTATTTTTTTATGACTGGGCATGGTGTCACTGAGATACTTATCAATTAACAAAATTTCAGGTTTCACTGATTAGAATATTGCCACTGATTTATCTGCTAACACAAATATTCTGATCAGTCACTATGGTTAAATTGGAAATTAATATTAGTCTGCCTATATATTTATGGAAAACGTGACCCTCAAACAGAATTTTGCTTACATTATTTTGATAGACAAAACATTTCTTGTTTACACACTGTTGAGAGTGATTGACTGATTGACGTCTGTTTTTACATACAACCGATGTATTATGACATCGTAAGCCAGCCAAACAGAACTAACATTGTAAACAAGAGGTGGCATATTCCTACACTAACGACGATAAACAATTACGTAAGGGCGATAATCTGAAGTATCGCAAGGGCGAGCGGGTCACCAGCGTAAAGTTACAATTGCACATAGAAATTACCCAGGATAAAGAGTAAATAATTATATAATAAAGTTTGATAAGAATTATAATGTATAAATACCATACAATAGGGGATACAGAAACATATAAGACCGCTTATAGTTCTATTTTTTTCTGGAAGACTCAAAGTGAATCACGTCGCAGAATAAAATAAATAAAACTGTCAACCAGTGTACTGGTTATTACATTTCTACCACACCCAACTATAGTTAAAGGACAATATTGATGCCAGTCATTATCACATATGTGATAGAACTGGTTAAACACGTTCCAAATATTATTTTATCACAGAGATCAGTGCTACGATAGATGCGTAATCAATGTTTCAGCAATCGGAAGTGACGAACGCAAAAGGAAAACACGAGTTATCCCTCTATATAACTGACTGAAGTGAAGAGTGATAACAGATACATGGGCGAATTTCTGTTCACTAATAATTCCTTCGAAGACAAAAAGTTGTTATGTGAGACTGTAAGAGCATATCTGACAATTCAAAAAAGTAATTGAATGTCATTAGATAAGAGAACACTCGAAATAAACGTGTGTTTATTCATTCTATACTTATAAAGACATGATAATGCACGGACTTTTTCTATTTTTCTTTTATGTTCCCTGATCTAGTGACAGTCATTTTTTTTAAAGAATTGTCAGATATCATTTCACAGTCTCATACAACAACTTTTGGTCTTCGAAGGAATTATTAGTGAGCAGAAATTCGCCCATGTATCTGTTACCACCCGTCACTTCAGTCAGTTATATAGAGGAATAACTCGTGTTTTCCTTTTGCGTTGGTCACTTCCGATTGTTGAAACACTGATTACGCATCTATTGTAGCAATGATCTCTGTGATAAAATAATATTTGGAACGTGTTTAACCAGTTCTATCACATATGTGATAATGACTGACACCAATATTGTCCATTAAGCATGTTATCCTATCTGACAGTGACACGGGTACAAAAATTATCCCTTTTAAATCGAAACATTAAAAAGCTGTCTAAGCTCAACATTTTAAAACTACTGTTCAAGAGGTTTGACATGGTAACCTCATGAAGGCGGGGCTAGATATGAGGTTTACAACAGTCAATCAAAATGCGCAACATAGACAAAGGGAAAATCACAAGTAGAGAACCTGTGCCGGTCGCGCATGAGTAATGAATGCATGGTAATTATGAATGGCCTTCGATGGTCGTTCAAAGTCTGTGAAAAACACCGCTTGGTTAACTTGTTTGCGAAAGTTGTGTCTCTACATTAGGTCGGGTATGTTTAATGCGTCCTAATACTGTACAATTATCTTATTTTAAAGATGTTACAGGCGTTAATAAAGAAATTAATTTTGCCAAGTGAAACTAATTAAAGGAACCCAATCTTAGCTAAAAACAAACACATCAAAATATATTTCAACGTTTATTGCTACATTATCGTAGCTATATTTCAGCCACTTCGCATGTCGTCTTTGCAAAAAACAACGGGTTTTTTTTTGGGTTTTTTTAAAAGAAAAAACAAAATATGACGTTGCATGCCCTTTAAAATGTAGTTTCAATGACGCTATACACATGGCTATACACCTATGTTTACTTTTAACGAATTTCTATTTGATTAGAGTATGAAGGTTACATTGGCTTTCTGTGCTATAATATGTCAGACGAAGATTTTGCATATTTGATTTATATATGTGTAACCTACACCCACCCACCTACATATACATATATATATATATATATATATTAGTGTGTGTGTGTGTAACCTACATATAGAAATACATTGCAGTGGTATAAAGATTGATATATCCATGCTCTATATATTATATATATATATTACATACATTATAGAAATGAACAATTTTTCCAATAAATCAATTAATCGTAATATGACCTTAGATTACCTCCATTTCTCTAATATATTCTTTGAAAGGTTATTGTAGTTTATTGGAACATCTGACCCGTAGCTAGCCGGGGGGCGGGGACAAGGGTGGGCAGCTACTCCCCACCCCTGGAAGAGTCGACGCCCCTAATGGGCAACGGAGGTGCCCTTTCCAATGGACGCAATACGAAGTAAACGACCAGCCTACCCATATCAGTATGGGCGAGATTGGCGAGGCGCGCAACCATTGTCACTTGGTTTTATGGGCGGCTCGCCAATTATGTCGTTATACATGAGGCACCCCCAAATGTTGAGACGCCTCATAATGAATCACACGATTAACACCGCAACTTGATTGATGGGATGCCCAAAACGGCGTGATCTGTGGGGTGCATTACCCCGGAGAGGCGCCCATAATGACATGATTGGTGGGGCGCCTTATAATGACAATATATGATTGGTAGGGCGTCCACATCTTGATCAATAGAGCACCCATCTCGAAGTGGCGGCCGTAATGCCGAGATTAGTGGGCCGCCTACGACGAGATCATAGGCGCCCAACCAAGAAACCGACCGCATACCGACGCCCAAAGAAATCTATCATAAGAAAGCCATCTGGACCAAAGAAATCTATCATAAGAAAGCCTCCAGTTGGCTATCATAAGAAAGCCATCTGGACCAAAGAAATCTATCATAAGAAAGCCTCCAGTTGGCTTTCTTATGATAGATTTCTTTGGTCCAGATGGCTTTCTTATGATAGATTTCTTTGGTCCAGATGGCTTTCTTATGATAGATTTCTTTAGGCGTCGAAAAGCCAACTGAAGGGGGGATCACCTGACTAAGTGGGTAAGACGCTGGCTCGCTAGCCTGGAGGTCGGTTGTTCGATCCCTGCATTGGCCGAGAAAGTTCATCCAGATTTTCCCCATGTCAGTGATGCAGGACGGAGGACCTGACAAGGACAGCTGTCTAGTCTTTCGGATGAGACGAAAAACCGAGGTCCCGTGTATATATTGGAATGCACGTAAAAGATCCCCTGGCAGTTGGAATTCGATATAAGAGTAGGCGATAGTGCCGCTGCCCGGGCAAAATTTCCCTCATAGCACACTGTATATGGCGTATGCCCGTCTTCATTAGCCCAGTATAGGAGCACAACAGGACGTTAAACCCCATTTCATTTCATTTATTGCCAACTGGAGATTGTAGGGAATTTTCCAGGTCAAATTCACGATGTGGATGAGATTGATTCAAGCCCGCACCAGGTGTGATAATCTTCAAAATTCAAACAAGTCGCACTCTAACCCGATTCCGAACTTTTCGTTTTTCTCGTTAATTATATTATAGGTACTTAGCTAAAGTCGTATTCCTTCCTTCAAATTTTTATAATGTTCATATCAAAATATCATAATACGCTAATATCGCAAATTCAGCCTCAAAATTTAAATTTTCGGCGCCATTCTCATAGTTTCTCTCCTCTGAGGCAAACCAGTTACTTCATAGAGTCAACAGCGTCAACAAACACCTTAAATATATTTCATATTATCGTATAGGCGTGCGATTCCGGGGCAGCTGGGCCCAGTCCTAACTCTCCAACAATCTGACTTTTCGGGTAGACGGGTAAAGTGAAAAAAAAATTAATTAATATATCATCTGGTTGGCCAAATAAAGTGCCCGAAATCTAATAAAACACTAATTTTACTTTTCTATTTATTGAATACCGCCAATTTGTACTGTACTGATTGCGGATTAAAACATTTTGTCATGAGCCACTATGCTTTGTGTGACATGTTTCGGGCATCGATTATATATATGAATGCAGCTGCAACAGTCTGATTGGGTGATCGGTATGGAGGTCGGCATATAATTGGATTTCGGTTGCAAACCCATGTTCTGTATTGGACAACTTTGAAGTCGCTAACTAACGGGCTAGGATAGCAGAACAACGCATTTGCATCGGTAAAACTTTCTAATTTTTTTCGGAGAGGGCGATGCCCCAATGCCCGCTTCTCCGTGGACTAAATGATTGATTGATTGGTTGAATTCAACAGGTCTGCCACCTAAGTTAGGCTAGATCGGTCCACAATGAAGTTGCTGTATTCACGGGCTGGAACAGCAAGAATAGGCGTTTATACGGCCGTCAAATTTTCTTGGGGAGGCTCCTACACAGGCGTACGGACTCGATGAATGTAAGTTGGGGGGGGGGGCAGACCTGAAATGCCCGAAAAAATTTCGACTGCGAGAGGCGAAGGAGCGGAGCCTACCTTATGTGAATTACCCGAATTCCAAATCCCAAACAACCAATCAATCAATTGAAACTTTAACCGCCGTAAATGCGTTTTTCTATTATAGCCCGTGAATAATATAATCGGGTTGCAAACGAAATCTCACTCTATGCCGACTTGAATTCCCAGCCATTAGATTTATTTTGCCAACTATAGATGAAATATTTTTGATTTCACTTTACCCCGTCTGCCCGAAAAGTCGGATTGCCCGAAAGTTAGGGCCAGAGACGCGCGAGAAAGTGACCGAAATACAATACATAATTACGCGAACCTATGATTTAAATTTGATATCGTCGCTTTGTCACTTTAAATGTAACTTTTATAGACGAACAGCCTGGCCCTCCCTTTACTAGGACGAGGTCAAATATGGAATATTCCATTTACTACGTAAACGTAGACTGCACCACTTTGTTGAGTTCTCGTGTAGACGACGTATGTGCACTACTTAAATCAAAATAATTCATATATTGATTTGCGTTGAAGCATTCGTGATATTAAACTTCTGACTATTTAAGGTAAGTGTTTTGTAACTTCAATTAGCTCTCCGTCCATTGCCATTTAGAATCAGCTCCTGTGTTACAATCGCGGTGTTATTATATTTTCATTTCATTATATCATGATGTTATCCCAATATATTATTCCATGTAAAATATATTTTTGTATACATATATATTGATGTATGTGTATGTTTTGTGTATAATGTTCCTAATGGACGTAAAATGCAAATAAAAAAAGTTGAAGTTAAAATGACACTATTATAATGTCCATGCTGGGGCCTACTTTTATGTCAATCTCCAACTGTCAGGGGATCTTTAAAGTACCATAATGCGTTTCGGCGCATTTGTAACATATTCGGCTAAACATATTCCACATCTATCTATCTATATATATATTTGTGACTGTCGTTTGTCTGCCTGTCTGTCTGTCTGTCTGTTCGGAGTTGGCGGCTACACTAGGTCTGCCCCGAGTCTGAAATTTGGGGTATAGGGGTAGCTCGGACCGGGGAGTAACATAGACCAGGTGGCGTTAGTCTACTACTTCCGGTTTCGGAGTTATGACCCCCCGAGCGAAGCCGGTCTGTTCGGGGTTGGCGGCTACACTAGGTCTGCCCCGAGTCTGAAATTTGGGGTATAGGGGTAGCTCGAACCGGGGAATAACATAGGCCAGGTGGCGTTAGTCTACCACTTCCGGTTTCGGAGTTATGACCCCCGAGCGATGTCTGTCTGTTCGGGGTTGGCGGCCACATCCGCCCCGAGTCTGAAATTTGGGGTATAGGGGTAGCTCGGACCGGGGAGTAACATAGGCCAGGTGGCGTTAGTCTACCACTTCCGGTTTCGGAGTTATGACCCCCGAGCAAAGCCGGTCTGTTCGGGGTTGGGAGCTACACAAGGTCTGCCCCGACTCTGAAATTTGGGGTATAGGAGTAGCTCGGACCGGGGAGTAACATAGGCCAGGTGGCGTTAGTCTACCACTTCCGGTTTCGGAGTTATGACCCCCGAGCGAAGTCTGTCTGTTCGGGGTTGACGGCTACACTAGGTCTGCCCCGAGTCTGAAAGTTTGGGTATAGAAGTAGCTCGGACCGGGGAGTAACATAGACCAGGTGGCGTTAGTCTACTACTTCCGGTTTCGGAGTTATGACCCCCCGAGCGAAGCCGGTCTGTTCGGGGTTGGCGGCTACACTAGGTCTGCCCCGAGTCTGAAATTTGGGGTATAGGGGTTACTCGGACAAGGTAGTAACATAGGCCAGGTGGCGTTAGTCTACCACTTCCGGTTTCAGAGTTATGACCCCCGAGCGAAGCCGGGTATCCTGCTAGTATTCCATAAATCATGTCAAACGGTGACGACGTATTCTTATTCTATATGCGCAGGAAATACTTTCGGTGTAGACTGGAATAACCAGACGCTATCACAATTCAACCTAACATTTTACATTTGCTCTACATGTACACCACATCTCTTTTAGACCAATACGTTTGATAAGTCATCTTTTGCATAGCAATAGGTTGTGTATGCGAATGAAGGATGTCATACCGCCTCAATTACTGTTGGCGTAAGTTATTAATTACTCGATTGATTTGAAATTTATGTGCGAATTTATATCATTTTATTATCGGTACATGTTTTGTGAAATAAAATATTAACACCAGGAACAACTAAATACCAATCATATTTTAAATATTTCTTATAATTTGTTCATCGGCTGATACTTTTGATCAATATTTACCTACAAAATAATATACGACATTCCCTGTGAACCGTGCGGACGACTTGTGTGTGCGTGTGTTTCATAGCCTGGTACACACCTTAATGTTTAGCGTAACCATCTAACATGGGCTATTGTTCTTTCAAATCAGAATTAAAAACAGTCAATGCCATGTGTGATATATTGGAAATAGGTGTTTTCAAGCCGTTTTTATACGCCCACATTAAAATGTGGTCGTATATTGTCGTCGCCTCCGTCGGTCCGGCGTCCACAATTACTACCAGAGTTATGGCCCCTCATCGCTTTGAAAGATCTCGTGGACACCCTAGAGACTAACGTTGATATACGATTGACTTTAAATTTATACGCAATGTTTAAGTTCATGAGACGAAGAAGTCTATTGATTTTCAGCGATTTCTGATAGTTAATGCTAGAGTTATGGCCCTTGATCACTTTGAAATATCTTGTGGACACTTTAGAGCCTAAAGTTAATATTGACTTTAAATTTATACACGCTGTTTAAGGTCATGAGACAAGACTCCTATTGATTTTCAACGATTTACAATAATTACTGCCAGAGTTATAGCCTTTGATTACTTTGAAAAATCTTGTGGACGCTTTAGAGGCTAAAGTTGATATCCTATTGACTTTATATTTATACAGTGTTTCAGGTCATGAGACCAAGAAGCTTGTCAATTTTCAACGATTTCCGATGATTATGGCAATTGATATTAAATGTTTTGTATGCTATATGTATATGTTAGAATAGGGCCGAACTAGAAGCCAAATTGGTTGTTACTCGTAATCAGATTTTAGTGTGTTGTAAATTTTTTTTAATTTTGATAAAAATACGACAACCTGATAACCTATTTTTTTAAATATCTAAACAGGCATATATATTTTTGGAAATGATAATATCTATGAATTAGTGATTCGTGACGTAAGGTTTTGTGTGATTGTATTACGTGCACTGGGAAAAAAAGATGGTTTATGGAGACATGCATGAGATCCTCCCTAATATTCATTTTATATAAGACACATTTATTCTTCTCTGTTGGTTGCATAAATAGTTTATGAAATGTAAGCTATAGTTCGTCTTTGTCGATATCAGCTATGGCAGAATTTCAATTATACATAATTTTGTCAGATTTTACTAAACATATAATTTTTCGATATGGTGTTACGTATATGCATATCTATATGACATCTATTGCCTTGTTGGTTATGGAAGAATAGCGTTGCCAATATTATTTCAATGTTAACGGTGCAAAATGCAAATGTTAGCCGTTCAAAATACGTATTTGTAATTTCCATTGCTCCACAATACCAATGTTACAGTGCTAAAATACAGAACACACTTTTGAATAATACAAAGTACGGTATAATAGTTATTTTGCACATTACACTTCTCAAATCAAATTCAAAACATGATTTTTATACGCCCACATTGAAATGTGGTCGTATATTGTGTCGTCGCCCCCGTCCGTCCGTCCGTCGTCCACAATTGCTTGTGGACGCTCTAGAGGCTAAAGTTAATATCCGCTCGACTTTAAATTTATACACTGTGTTTAAGGCCATGAGACGAAGAAGCCTGTTGATTTTCAGCGATTTCCGATAATTACTGCCAGAGTTATGACCCTTGATCACTTCAAAAGATCTTGTGGACGCTCTAGAGGCTAAAGTTAATATCCGCTTGACTTTAAATTTATACACAGTGTTTAGGGCCATGAGACGAAGAAGCCTATTGATTTTCAGCGATTTCCGATAATTACTGCCAGAGTTATGGCCCTTGATCACTTCAAAAAATCTTGTGGACGCTCTACAGGCCAAAGTTAATATCCGATTGACTTTAAATTTATACACAGTGTTTATGAGACGAAGAAGCCTATTGATTTTCAGTGATTTCAGATAATTACTGCCAGAGTTATGGCCCTTGATTATATTGAAAAATCTTGAGGATGCCAACGATATCATTCGATTGACTTTAAAATCATACAGATGTCAGTGACTTTTGATAACTTGAACATGATATTAAATGTTTTGTTTACCAAACGTTAGCATGGGGCAAAACTAGAAGCCAATAAATTCTGATGATTTCTGATAATTACTTAATCAGTTGATAGACTTAATCAGATTTTAGTATATTGTAAATGTTTCATTACCGACTAAAGAAAAAATATGCGAAAACTCTTTTTGACTGCCCGGGCGACTTAGCTGCTGTGGTCGAATGTTTCGTTGCCTGGCAAGAAATCTTTGTAATACTTTGCACGCAATTGGCCGACGTTCTTGTCGATGATGAGTATGACCCCTATAATACTATTGCTGGAAAATAACCAAATTGTCAAGTTCATTTACGTGCATTCTTAGTCATGACACACAGAGCATTGGGTATCCCATTTAATCAAATCAAGTGTTGTTAGTACGATAGGTAGTATGATCGTTGTAGAAGAAATAATTAGAATATTCTAGTTCTCCCGTGAAGGCTTTTTTTTGCAGCGAGAGGTTGAGGGGTGTAGTTTAGTGCTATAACGCGTGCACTTTAGGTCGTAAGGCCTGTCATTGAGTCAAGTGACATTGTTTCGATACACATTTGTACGTGACAATGACTAAGTTGGACCTTGTTTGTATGTCTTCTGATGAATAAAATTTGTATTATCTAATATCAGCATCACAACCGCCGAAGAAACAGAGCGAATAGTGGCCCCTTTAAGATGCGTTATGTAAGATTTAAATCAAGAGCTGGTCGCTGTTGTTATAATAATAGTTCAAAAATAGATAATGAGAAATGAATATATTATTATGCAAAAGTTCAATCAAATTACTTTCTTCTGAGCAAAAATTTTGACAAGATAGTCTCGATTGTCAAGTATCATTGCAACGATAATCGAACCTGTCTGTGAAGCATGTCACGTATAACGCAGACTTTCTATACCACATCAACACCAAAGAGGCGCTTATTGTCACTCCAGGTTTTGCAAAAATATGGTGCAATAACCAGAGATATCTCTTTGTCAAATCTGAAGGGTAAAACCCCGAAAACTAAATCTAATTGAAATGGGTCACAGAGATATGTCATGAAATAAATTTTGCTGATATGTAATTGATAAGGCAAATGCCAAATATAATCTATGTCGAACTTTGACAGTGGTCAAATATGAGTAAGCAATTTGGACGGACACAGATGGGTTTTGGGATAATTTGGGTGAATAGGCTTTTACATTGGTAGTGCATGCACTTAAAACACTTCCTTGTCAGCTTAGGCGTGTATTATAAGTTTACGCAAATGTCGTACTGGTCTGGAAAAATCTTTCT